GCAGAGATGCTGTTTGCAGAGATGCTGTTTGCAGAGATGCTGTTTGCGTATCGCAGTGCTGGCGGCCTCACCCGGGTTGTGCTGTGCGCCCCTGCTGTTCGTCAGCTGGGCCACGAGGCAGGAGTTCCTTCAAGCCACGGCTGGGGGGCGGCCCTGTGCCGCGTGCTGAGAAGGGCCGAGCGCAGCACAGCGCTTCAGCGGAACGTTTTGTCACTTTGCACTATTGGATTAAAAAGGGATTTGGGACTGAGTCACGAAGGCGCGACGAAATGAACTCTTGGAGGTCACGAGAGGAAGAGATGCAGAAAGGAGGCTGGGATCTGCTCTGAACCGAACCCGCTGTGCCTCAAGTACTGCAGCACGCGACGTGGGAGGTAAACCTGCGCTCACAGGGTCTGTGCTTTGCGTATCTGAACTGATGTCATCAGTCTTTCCAGTGGCTGAATATGCATTGTGATCTGTTTTTACAGTACTCGATTTTTGTTTATAATATGGCTCAAAATAAATCACTTGAACTTTGATACTCTCAAAAGGTCTCAATATTTATGTGTTTATGCCATAGACCTGCTCAGTATATCGTGACCCTCTAAATTTAATCACATCTGTCCTTAGTGAGTGGTCGGAGCAGCTGCTGTGACAGCACCGTGCTGGTGTCCACAAAGCAGCTTTCACTTTTTGCATGGACAAAAGTTGTAGTCTTGTTGATTGCCATCATCTTTAAGTGCAGGGCTCAGCACAGTGCACCAGGAGGATAAAGCAGTGGCATGTGGTTGTGGGAGACGACTGGACCGATTGCTCTGTTCACTTGATAAAGGATTAAAACAACTGTATAATTAAAAAAGCCCACTGCACTCCTCCTGTTAGTGATGGGTAACAGCCTTCCCCTCCTTTCACGTGGCAGAATTTACGTGACAAAGACATCATGTTAGTTTGGCAACTTTAACAATAAGAGAAATAAGTTTTTACTCGTGTGATATAGTCATAAATGTAGTAACTATTTCTTATGTCACTGATAATGTGGAAGTGCTGATTCTTGAGAATATGCTCTTTCCACAGCTGCATAAAATCACAGAACCCCAGCATGGCCTGGGTTGCAAAGGCCCACAGCGCTCCTCCAGCTCCAACCCCCTGCTGTGTGCAGGTCGCCAACCAGCAGCCCAGGCTGCCCAGAGCCACATCCAGCCTGGCCTTGGATGCCTGCAGGGATGGGGCATCCACAGCATCAAACTTCCATCAACATCCATTAACACCAAACATGCAAACACCCATACGTCGATTGGAGTGGCTGACTGGCATTCCTCATTGAATTTGTGAATATGCTGTGCAGGTATTTAGGTAATGTGTACAGGCACACTGCTGATTAGCTGACTCAGTATCAGTGCTTTTAACTGCCAGTTGCTTAGAAGCATCACCGATGGAGACTCAGGGCAATCTGTGTGCTGATGCACTGCATGCAGCAGCCGTGCTGTTTGTCAGACACTGAGCTCTTCCCTGCAGCTCAGATCTGTGGGACACATGATGGAGAACAGGAGTTGTGCCAAATGGAAGAGTGGGCTTTGTTGTATGAGCTCCTCGCTGTGACTGCAGAATGAAGCAGACCTGGTATTGGATTGCTCCACAAGTGTCTGTGTGCGGCGTGTGGGAGAGAAACGGGACAAGGCGATCAGTGACGATCACAAATGAAAGATGTTTATTATTGAATGGCCTTTGTTCACTGTAGCAATAAATGACCCAAGTGCAATGACTTGATTTAATAAAGCCCTCTTGTAAAAGTTGCTGCTGGGAGTGTGTTTAGCCCTGAGGAAGTTGCCCTAATGTATGTCTGTATTGTCTTCAGCTCCTGTTATGTACTGGAGAGGAGGGCCTTGCTTTGAAGACATTCCACAGAACAGCTCCCTAAGAGCAGTGTGCTTCTCTGATCTGTTCTGCTGTGCTGTAAAACGATGCATGCTCCCCAAACAGCCAATAAAATGAGTTCAACCTGTTGACACTGCTCACTTTGTGGTCAGAAACGTTTCCTGTGCCATTAGAGATGCTTTGTGGGAGGAGGCTGGGGAGAAAGGTGCATTGCTATTCACACAGCACCCAGCAGACTTTGCCGTTGGGATTCACTTGCCAGGTTATTCTGGCTCTGGATATTCAGGATGGCTGCTCCAGTAGCTGGGAGCCGCTGCTGCTTTGTTTGCCTGTTTTGAATCCTACAAGTGAGTCTGAGAGTATTAATTTCTGAGCTTCTCCTATTCCTTTCTTTTAATTTTTGGTGCTGCTAATTGATCTGACTTTTCTGTGCATCTCCAGAGCTTGTTTTAAGGTCCCTCTTACCACTCAGTAACACAAATAAGTGCACGCTGGAATCGCTTCTCAAATACGGAGTGAAGAATGAAGACTCAATGTGATGTGTTTGGGAAGGGCATAGGTGAGAGGAAGAGCAAACAGCAATGACAGGAAACCAGTCTAAAAATGTGAAGTGGTATTCAACTCCCATGTTCTGTAAGATTCTCATCTGCCATTTACAGACAGTTTTGGAAAAATAAAATGTGCAGCCGTGTGCATGCTTTTTTATTTGAGCAATCGCTACGGAGATAACGTTTCTCTTTCATGTTGCTTCAGGAGAGTTACGTTTCTGATGAGTGTTTAATGTATTGCAGGGTTTGACTTGGGGTTACTTAGCAAAGTATATGTTAAACCTTGATGAATGCAAAGCGTTTGTTTGCAAGTCGTAATTTAGCCGAAGTCTCATTAAGTCTTTCCAAAGGAAATGGTAAAAATGGGTCTTTGTGGCTCTGCACTTTGGGCTGTTGCTAAAGCTCTCTGAGGTGTTGCTGATTGCTTTCCCTGAGCTGTGTCAAAACAGCTGCTTGGGAAACTGAGTTTTGCAAGAGCTGAAGGGCTGCACCACTCCCTTCTGGGTGCCCAGGCACGTCCCTCCATCCTGAAAAATGCAGACAGCCCTGACCAGCTTGCAGCGCGAGCCCCGCGCGTTCAGAGCACCCTCTGCACTTGAGGGAGTCACAATTTGAGCACGTTTCTGAGCCCCGTGGGGCACAGCTTCAGACCTCTTGACTTCGGGGAGAAGTGTGTGCACCCGCTGAAGTACACCAGCCCTCGGAGGACGATTTGGGCTGAGGAGGTGTTTGAAAAGCCAGGGGCTGCTCAGTCATCGCAGCAGAGCTCCTGGGTGTGTGTGGATGCACGGCTGCAGGTACCTGGGGAGGAGGCCTTCAAGCAGCGCATTGGGTTACCTGGTGTTTGGGCCTTTCCTTTTGAGTTAAAGGTGTGCTGAGGTGCTGCCCCTGTCATTCTTTGCCTGGTGCTGCGCGGAGTGCGAGGCGCTGCGCCTCCCTGGGTTGGTGATGTGGGCGCTGAGCTGTGCTTGGCCTGCTTCCTGTTTGATCCCAGGTGAGACAGCTTGCTTGAGCAGATCTCTGCGATGCGGGAGAGCAGAAGGTGCTCCTCCAGGGTTTGGGGAGGAACGGCTGCGCAGGTGTGACTCACCTGTGGCAAAGTGGCAGCTTGGCGCTTTGTGGGCGCGTCTGTGGCTGTCCTGGCGCTGCACTGCAGCACCTCTGCTGTCATCTGCCGCTGCCGCGGTGTCAACCCAGCGGGGCAGTGAGAAAGCAGGCTGATGCCCCGGGTCGTTTCCCCAAGGGAAGAGGACACAAAGCGTGGCACGCAGCAGCACAGCGGCACGGCCGTGGGTTGGGCGCTCAGCGGTGATGGCTCCAGGATCCCCGGTGCTGTGAAATCTCCACGCAGCAGAACCCGGAGCTCTGCATAGGGTGAGTGCCATCACAGCGCGTACCTCCAGCTCTGTTTGAGTATTACCCATGAGGGAATTGTAATCTGTGCAATTGGTTTGTTTGCAGCCCAACAGATATGGGAGTGCTTTGGGCTGTGTTCACTTTGTGCTTCTTCCCTCGGTTTTGTATGCACTCTTTTTTTATGTGGAAGTAATTAGGCACCTCTGCTTCTTGCTTGTATTTCTCTCACTGGTCTCTAATCACAGTGTTGTCGCTTATGAGAAAACATTGGATTATTTTATTGCTGAAATTGTTGTAGAGTTATAGAATCTGATTTACCTAAATTCACCTTTTCCAAGTGTGACTCTGTTAAAAACATCAGTAACACCATCCAGTCTCTGTATTTAAAAGCCTCAATCTTTGTCCTTAATTGGCAATGTGCTGCAGCCTTTTCAATGTGTGATACAGCAGTGAGCAATGCGAGCGATGAGCTCTTGGTGCTTTGTGAGCTCTTTGGGTTTTAAGATGACCATGTTGCCATTAAAGCCCTAAATAAAGAATTTGGTTCAGTACCTAAAGGTTTAATAACTTTTTCTTTAGATGTCAAATACATGTAAGGCAAATCTGCAGTGAATGTTTGGGGAAAGAAAATTGTGCAGATGAATAGATAAACCCCCTGTAAACTTTGATTTTGGACAGTATATCCTTATGAGCCTTACTCTGCTTCTGAGGTGGTGGAGATGAGAAAGCTGTGACCCGAGATGATGGAGAATCCTTGGATGGAGATCTGGGGCCCACCAGTCCGTGCTTCTTTCCTCTCCTTCAGCCCCTTCCAGCCACTATTTGTCACTTATTCTTCCTCCTGTTGGTACCTTTGCCCATCCCCACAGTGCTGGGATCAAATGCCACTAGGAGGAGGATCGGCAGCTGGTGACAGTTTCCTTACTGGAAGATGCCCGGGGCAATGCAAGTGTGTGTGCTTTAATACGAGTTTCTGTGAGAGTATCCGTGTTCTTTCCCTGAAGTGACTGACTGTGCTGTGTTTGATGCACCTGATGATGCACGGCTGTTATCTCGGCGAGATGAGGCTGGGTGGTTTCCACGATGAGTCAAGCAATGCAACTGAATGAGATCGGTGCTTCACGGGCAATGCATGTTTTTATCTGAGGGCGGCTCAGCTGCCGGGAGCTGCCCCAGATCTACAGATCTTACAGATGGCAGCTCTGGGTGGAGTTACGTAGGTG